GCTACAGACGTTTTGCATTGGTTACCGCGTAACGACAAATTAAGTTTTTGTGTAGGCTTTCCTTGGAATGAAGTCGGAGTAATGCGATATAGCCTCATAGTCATTATTCATTCTGGTTTTTCTCCGTGAACGTAGCTCTCGACGTAGCCAGCATTCCGGATTTTTCACGGTTGGAGGTAGATTCGGTCAGTTATACGTGCATATTACAACGGTGAACGCGCTGAGGATGACAAGGAAGGGCGAATCGGAGGTCTTTCAGGAGAAAATTCTTCATTGACTGTTAAAGCACCTAACCGCGCAGGGAGCTCCCAACGGAATCCCCAGGGTGTTAGGACCTAATCATTCCTGAATAATCAATTGGTCGCTTCAAATTCGCTGAATGTGCTGAACAAATAAATAAATACAATTTCCTGAGCGCTCGCTGTTCGCACAAGCGATTCGGCCCCAGCACAAGTACAGCTACCATCTCAAATGATGGCTCCAGAAGATCAGTATCCATAGGGGGCTCTCAGATGCATACATTCAGACGTTATTTCATTCAAAATCAGAGCATGTCAATTTCTTCCTGATAGCAAAAGCAACCAACAGTATGCTGTGTGATAATAGAATTATGCATAGTAACCGACTGAATGGAAGACAAGTTCAGATTGATCCCAATTGTTTACCTTTGTCGCTTACCTCCTTTGATCCTACTGACAGGAATCAGCATTGGCTGACTTCAAGAAAGAGGGCATGTGAAGAGACGGATAATTCAGGTGAGGGCAACTGTTAAATAAAGTTCACGTCATAGACTTCAATTATGAAGTCAAGAACAAAGCGTATCGATTCTGACTGGACGACAGGGTTGAATACGTTCCAGTATGGCCACAGCCGAGCATCGGCCTTCCAACTATGTTGTTGGGTCAGAAATAACAGGATAGTCGAGTGCACTTCCTTGAAGCCCTTTCCATGTGGTGTAGTTATCTTAACATCCGGTACAAGTGTTCCCTCTTCTGCGGTGGCTTAGTGAATTTCACAACTAATCCTTATTCCATCCGAATAGAACATCCATCATCTCTTATCCACCAATCATTCTTAGGTCATGCATACGGTCTAAGAAACACAACCAGAGAAGTGTCTGCAACTTTCCTATTGACTCCAACATTCATCGGATGCGTGGATAATCTGTAAGTACATGCCAGTGTGTGAAGGGAAAAGTTATAGCCGTGAGTGCGTGCGTACGATATGGCAAGAGCTGACTGACATACCAACAATCAACGGGTAACACGAGACATTAGGTTCTCTCTATCAGTTCCACACGGCAAAAAAAGCAAATCAGGGACTATCAACACTTCACTCAATTTAATTTGTCGTAGGACACAAGATAGGCGAACTGCAGAGAGGGACTCAGAACAGCAACACTGTTTTTCAGGGGTCGGAGCTTTAGGCACACTTCAAGGGTAGGCGCACGTTAATGCACGAACAAGATCGACCACTTACATTTGACCAGTATGCCTTGAGTTCTAATTGTGCAACAGGACCGAGAGTGAACTGTATTGGTCATATAGATGAACCATTCCACTCATATGTTGAACATCCTGCGGCCCAGTGGTCTGTGTGGTCAATCGTATTGTGTGCGGTTGTTTGGCTGGCTCGTAACGGTCTGGGAAGGAGCACCGTTGGTCGTTCAGTATAGACATTACCAAAGCAGCACGTGAACCAAATTGTGAGGCTGGACGAAAGTGGATAACTACAATGCAGTGCAATCCTCCCAATGGTTGAAAACAGTCCCAGTTGTGTCGCGGGGCGGATGTAATTCAGACCGGATATCTGTTGCTATCTGGCTGTATTTCAGTAGCAGTCTCATGAATATATTCCTTTTGGGTGCAGCATGACTCGTTTTTGTGCTCTGTCGCTACTGCGTAGGACGAACTTTTGAGCCTACTTTTTAGTTATGAGGATCTCTTCTAAAAATTTTGTCTCGCTGGTATGCCTCTGCTGTCAATATTCTTTGGGTTCAGAGCTGATGAAATGAATATAAGGGTCTTCAAACGCCAAAAAAAAGCCAAGCTGTTTCACTGGAGCGTCTCACTGAACAGTTGTGATTGGCTTCCGGTTTGAGAGATAGAACCGTTGGGTTGCAAATTAATACTGAGGTAGAAACTAAACAGAAGCTAACCTAAGAAGTAAGGACATCACCAACTTGGAGTTCGTTCGGCAGTTCGTCACTGATCGTAACAGAGACTTGTCTCATCATCTCACTAAAAAATTCCAGATTTGAGTTTACCGGACCGTCCATAGCAGGACTACCATCTGGTTTATAGATGAAAACTTCAAAAGTAAAACAATATTTTTGTATACGGTAAAATAATATCTTTAAACACTTCAACTGGGAAACCTAGTCGGATGTTCCGACTGGTTATGTTGCCACACAGGCAGTCAACCGTCTCACATCAACAGACGATCGGCTTTGAAAACTTTGACAAATATTTCAAGGCTCTGCAGAGTTTCGAAGAATACTTTAGGCATTGTGGAGGTATAAGGCTCTGCACAGAGTCAGGTACATTCAGTAGACACCAAGTCAGCTTATGATGGACGGAACTTTGCATGTTGAAGATCGACCTCAGTGGAGCGGTGTTTGTGTTCCGAGAGTCCTCAGATGCCTCCATCATGACTCTCAGGAAGGTACTGGTGTAAGGTGTCTACTGACCCGGTATTTTGTCAGCTATGATATTTTGTTCGCATTTTCCTTCGTAAGGAAGTACAGCATTCAATTGAGAGAAGCACTCACCTATGCTGACGATTACCTCAGCAAAGCCTTTTTGTGGTTTGATAGACAAAAGTAGGTTCATGCGATGTGGTTGGCTGATTGTCGGATGCTTTTCGCTGAGTGGTCATCAGAGCTGCCGATTCTATTAAGACAGAAACCGTCTCATGATGCTAACCAGCCTTGAGATTCACGTCAGTAATTTCCAGGTGTGTGGCTTGCTTATACAGGTTTTCAAATTTTAATTGAGTTCACAGACTGCTGACAGTTTTCTGTCTATCTACGAACTGCGATCTAAAGGACAAAACTCCTAAATGACTGGAAGTAAACTATACACGTGCTTTATGAGCACATTCTTGAAGAGTGTATGTCCAAAATTTTAAACCACCCAACTTTCGTTTAAAAAGTCCTCTTTCTGTTTTGGTGTGGTCATTAGGGTGATTCTTGACCAAAGAGAGGTGGCACTGGACTCGAATTTCGATCTTATTGGAGCTCATCAGTAGTGCATACCCTTAGCTGCGCCTGGGTTTGAACTCCGAACATTTGGCAAGTGAGGTGAGCGCGTTGCCACTCCACTCCAGAAGTTTTTTTGGCAGAACAGGTGTAGACCTCTCAGTACTTGCTTCGGTAATCTACTGTTACTCTTAAGCTTTCATCGAGTCCTCACCAAGTATCGCTAAAAATTTACTTTCACGTGGTATACCTCCTTCTTGAATGCCTCCTCATGTACTGTAATAGGGCACTTTTACTCAAGAAGTCAATTAAGCATTGCCTTTTCCCTTCCTGTGATGCTCTAAAGCGGAACCGATGACCACATGAGCTTTTACCGTGCATGACAGTGTCCCCAAAAGTTTTATTTTTGCTTTCAGAGTTGGTTGTTCTCTATTCGGTCATTGATACAGAATGAAATGTGTCGGTTGCAATTGAGGCGAACAGGAATTGTCACCACGAGAGTCATACACCACGATTCTTTGACCAAACTCAGGAGAAACAGCTAGGCAGATCGGTTAAAATCAGAAAAATTCTTTCTATCGTAGTACCCCATTTTCTAGATTCCCAGAGGAGCTTTCTCCCCTTCAATAACTAGTCAGAGAGAAAAGTTCATAGCTGAAAATTATTTGGTTCCTTGAGTACTCTGCACTGGTTATAACTAGCTTCTTCCTTTCACATCTTAACCTAGTTTCATTCCGGGATGTAAGAGAACATTGATGATTGGGCACGTTAACGAGAAAACTGCCCTGGTAGCATAACTCTAATTAGAAGTAACCTAGTGGTGTCAAACTTACCTAGGGTCTGCATGAAGTAAACAGCCTGTGCTTCCTCTCATTTGTGATGAACAAAATCTTGAAACTACAATGGAGACTTGCTTGTGGAGATTTCGTCCTGTAAGTGAAGCCAATCTATGCTGAAAAGCCGAGAAGCACTGTACAGCTTCAGCAGTGCGCATCTCACGAAACTCCGAAGAGACTTGTTTACACACTGAAAGATCTGCCACAACAACCAGGTCCCTGTCAGATACCGTATATTTTGTCCGCAGTAGAATATGTCCACTAGTTTGTGTCCTTCAAACAATCGGGGAGGTCGTTCTCTTATTTGACCTCAAAACGCCTTGGTGTTAACAAGTAAATACTGGGCTCATGACAAGCCAACACTTGAAAGATATTGTGGTAGCTTTTAATACAAACAAGGATGGGGCTTTTGACAGTTACGAAATCGCTTGGTACCGATTCAGGATTCGGCATTCACCTACCGTATAGTACGAGAACATATTTACGCAAAGCGTTAAAAATGGTAAATGTAGTGGATGGTACCCACATATGAAGATTCGTTCGACATATGACTGTGATGCTACCGCGATCGCCTTTCTACTACGAAATCTCTTCCAAATCCTTATGGGGAGGGAGCACTGTGCTCTATATTCTTATGGCATTTGTGACGTCCGATCATGCATACAATGACCAAAATTCGAGAAGCTATCAAATTCAATAGTTAAACTTGGGTTCTTGTGTGATGTATGGGTACGGTGTTCCTTATTATGACTTGATAATCGCACATGAAGACCAGCTGGTTAGTTCAACCAATCACCCGGCAGGCCAACTCGAATAATCGATATATTCAGTGGCCGTCATCGATCCTTGATACAGCAGACTGGCCAGAGTGGTAGATTGGGCCCCGAAGACCAGACGAGTAGCAAATCCTAAAAATGGTATGTCAGTGTTTCTATGATCCTTTACTGGTTTTAATTCACTGATAGCGGGAATGCATCAGCTTGCACATTGGTCAGTCAGGTGTACAAATCGGCAATGCATGTTGGGAACTTTACTGTTTGGAACATGGGTTAAAACCAGATGGACTTCTTCCAAAAGAATACAACACGTTGAATGTACATGATGAATCTTTCCAAACGTTCTTTTCTGAGACCAAATCAGGAAAATTTGTACCCCGTTCAGCTTATATTGACCTGGAACCAAGTGTTGTCGACGAAGTTAGGACAGGAGCCTATCGTCAGTTGTTCCATCCCACCACCCTAATCACTGGTAAAGAGGATGCAGCAAATAACTTCGCCAGAGGGCAGTATACGTTGGGCAAAGAAATAATTGACTTGGTGCTCGATCGAATTCGGCAGCTTGCAGACTTGTGTGAAGGACTGAAAGCTTTCTTAATATTCCATTCCTTCGGTGGCGGAACAGGCTCTGGTTTTACTTCTCTGCTCATGGAGCGAATATGCGTAGATTACGGGAAGATCTCCAAACTTGAGTTTGCAGTTCATCCGTCACCCCATATATCCACGGCCGTAGTGGAGCCATACAATGCAATACTGAACACCCATACAACTCTTGAGCTCTCCGATTGTGCATTCATGGTGGATAACGAAGCTTTATACCGAGTATTACGGTAGGTTCCTGTGACATTTTATCGACATTTTTTCTAGGGACAAGTTAGAAGTTGACCGACCAAGTTACACAAACGTTAATCGGTTGCTTGGACAAGTTGTTAGTTCCATAACGGCTGCTTTACGGTTTGAAGGCCCACTGAATGTGGATATTATGGAATTCCAGACTAACCTTGTACCATATCCTCGGATTCATTATCCACTTGCAGTCTATGCTCCAACTGCATCAACCGAAAGAGCCTATCATGAACCAATGAGTGTTTCCGAAATAACCAATACCTGCTTTGAACCAAGCAATCAGCTGGTTCTGTGCGACCCACGACGTGGGAAATACATGTCCTGTTGTTTACTCTACCGGGGAGACGTTACACCGAAGGACGTAAATCTAGCTATTGCAAATGTCAAGGCCAGTCGAGTCATCCAGTTCGTTGACTGGTGCCCAACTGGGTTTAAGGTTGGAATAAACTATCAGCCGCCAACTGTTATTCCAGGCGGAGATCTCGCTAAAGTTCCTCGTGCTGTGTGTATGTTAAGCAACACGACAGCCGTTGCAGAATGCTGGGCTCGGATAGACCACAAGTTTGACTTGATGTACACCAAAAGGGCCTTTGTACATTGGTTTGTTGGCGAAGGGATGGAAGAAGGCGAGTTTTCTGAGGCCCGAGAAGATTTGGCGGCCCTTGAACGAGACTACGAAGAAGTTGGTTTCGACAGTAGTCATCCTGGTGAGGTTGAACCTGGAGAATATTGAACGATGGCCAACACACGCTTTGACCCCTTGTATAATTCCTCACATCTCAGGGGCTGAGTGACATGTGATGCATAGACGACAAAGTGCACAAAAATTTGCTACAGTGCTCAAAAAACCAAGGCATTTGTAAACACACCCTATCGGAGGGTGTAACACAAAGTTGATCATCTTTGAAAGACTGACACATCTGGTCAGTCAGTACGCTGAATGCGTATGAATGCCATCGACAGGCGGATGCCTGAAAAACTGATTACGAATGGTCGTAATCGAAGCGGCATGTTTGCCGTTTAAACTGCTCTATTACGACTTGCTGAAGGTTCGTAATAGATTTAACTCGAGGCTGTGTTCATCTATTACGCTTTGTGTAATAGAATCAGATCGAGTCTTGCTGTAACAGTGACTTTTCACTCCTCTTTAAACAAAGAGCGTGTTACAATAGTGAGTGATGTTATTCGAATCAGGTAAACGTTGCTATAAGAAACGCGGCTGTATGCCATAAGTACTTTACACCCCAGGTGCGAATAAAGGGTCGGAGAATAGAAGTGCCAGGTCGATCTGGGAGTCTGTCTCCCAAGCAGTCTAAGATCAAAGAACAACCTTTAGTCCTTAAGTGCAGACAAGCAGTTGGAGGTGTTCGCTTACCGCCTCTAGATGCTTCCAGGTTGGTTTATCGGAAGCAGTGTCAACTTTGGGTGAGACTAACGAGAATAAGTGAGTATTCGCGGAACACAGTCAATGGCACAATAATTTGCTAGTCACGGGAGACCTGAATCCATCGTTTATGGTATTCCTCAACTGGATGCGCCACCCAACACATAAACAGGTGATGTGGACTGTGTCGTTTGGGGATGACTGGCACTGTATGGTTTCCAAGTGCAAATGAATCATACTAGTGATCAGATGCCGAACCGTCAACCGCTGACCTAATTTCAGTGGACCGAGACTCCTTGGGGTTTCGTGGGATGCGCACTGATGATTTTCAATAAGGGCGCAGTGACTTGCGACTTTTTAGCATAGATGAACTTGATTTCCAGGATGAAATCAACATTCACAACAAAACAAACCTTACTCGAAGGCTTATCAATACACGATGGGCTCAATCTTTCGTTTTCAGCCTAAGAACAGGTTAGAGAAGATCGGTGAAAGACCTCGAAGTCAACAGCGAAATTCTAGTTAGTCCTGAGGACTGTCCCATGAGGGTGAAAATATCGTGAGGTAGCCAAAAACACGTGAAGTCTTATTTAGTTATCTATCATCTGCTCAGCGAAATTCTAGTTAGTCCTGAGGACTGCCCGATGAGGGTGAAACTATCGTGAGATAGCCAAAAACACGTGAAGTCCCATTTAGTTATCTATCATCTGCCGTGCTACTTCAGTACAGAAATTGTGACTACCTTACGTGAGTTCATAAGGTCCAACCGTCACTGGTAAGTAATGCATCAGAATGGCTCAGTAGAAGCCCGCTGCCGTGCCTAAAGAAGCAGACCAAACGCTACACAACTTCCATTGTGTGAAGCACTGAGCTAACAGTTAGAACCTTCATGGAGGAAACTACCAATAAGGTTGCTGAAATTTCCTCCATATCTCGAATGTGGTACAAACTGAAATATATGGTGATTTTTGCTCAGCCTTTTCAGTTGAAGAACATCATAAACGAGATAATAAGCTGGGATTCAGGTGAGTCACCCATGAAAACCAAATTGGTGTGCCAATGAGCGCATTTGTTGGATTTCCAGTTAGACTGTGCTCACTGTACTATAGCATTGGAAGAAACTAGCACCAAATAGTGGACTGATTGTACTTTTAAAACTCCTGACGATAGAATCCCCATTCTCTTTTATTCTCCGTTGATAACTGCAATCATCTCAAGTTCACGATCAGTGGGCAACCGGAAACATTCCGAACAATCTGTTCCACAGGTTCATTCGGAAGTCTTGACGAGAATATTTTCGGATATGGCAGCGCATCAAGTACTCAGCTTCCCACCATGACGTAACCATAATCATGGTATCAACAGCAATGATGCAATCCCCAGATTTGATCAGAATAGCAGTCTAGTTTTGGCTGACAAGGTCTACTACCTGAGCGCAATGAGTACAGTCGACTCTGCTACCCACATAACTAAAAGACAGGACACTGCAAACCAGCCATGGGAGCACTCGAGTTGCCCTGATGAGTGCAAAAGCCTAGGCCCGAAAGGGCGCGAATAAAAAAGACAGTCAGTCTCTGTCATGCGCTTAAGCAGCGTTGAGAGTTCTCGAACAGTCCAATGGACGCTTCGGGGCTGCCTTTTTCGGTACCGACAGAAAGAAGAGAGGATGACCGGCCTTCATATTTTTTCCCCACGGAACATCACCTTAGATTTGTCTACTTTAGTGTGCGACCTGAAAAAGTGCACTGATATTTATGAGTGAACGATTCGCCTTGTGGATTATACACCAATTCAGTTGTGTTTCTCAGAAGTGCGAAATTGCAGCGTTGGTATTATTTCAACGGTTTCTAAATTAATTCCAAAAGCTTTCAGATATCTGATTTTTTGGAAGTCGTAGTTCTCGAGAGACTCCCGTACAGGCGGATTCACCAGAAGAATCCAACGCTATCACAGTTTGCTGGTGGCGTGAGCAGACTTTATAATTTTTCAAAGCCGATTTGGTGGACTCTAGAAACGGCACATCCCTTTTCTCTGATGTATTCATGGCAAACATATCTCGTTCCACATACAAATGACGCAACTTATGGATGCAACTAGAGAAGCTTCAGCTTCAACAAACCTGGTTAAATTATGGGTAAGAAGGGTCAAACAATGAGTTTATTTCTCAGAATCCTTCGGGAAATTAGTCACAGGCTCGCATCATCACCATCATGATCATGATCATCATTATCATGATCTAAGCGGTAGCACGCTGTTAGCCGGTTCTTTAGGCGCAGGATACTTGGATATACTGAAGAGTGACTGAAAAATGGGATAGGGAAGGAGAGAAATATAAACGACTTGAACAGTAGCCTATTTTGCCTACTCACAGCTGTATACAGCTGTATGCAGCTGTATTCAGACTCCGTTCATCGCACCAGACGATAGCCCATGTTGCATGAAGTTGTCCTCTGGCGTTCTGTCACTGACATTTTCAGAATTGTCAAGGCTAAACAGTGTGTTCTTTTAATTGCTTTTAACCGGTAGCCTCACAGGTTTCTGGATCACGAATATGTGCTGGGTCGAAACGCCACTTTTGATGCAGCTGACCCGTTGATCATTGTACCATGCCATAGACATTGCTTACGGATATAAGAATAACCCAATCAACGCCCCATCTTCTCTGCTCCGTATCATGTTTCACGAACGAAGGTGAAATAACCAAAAAGATGAGCCTAAGTATGTTGTTTTTCTACAAGTTGAATCTCTAATATACCGCCTTTGCTGTCCAGTCTGCATAATTCCTTCAACAGAGTATATTAATTGACGTGGAAAAAGAGTCTACGGAAACATATTTGACACAATTTCATGTCATTCCGAAGCTAATAAAATCTCATGAGTATAATCATCGTCCTTATAATCACCATCATCGTCACCGTGATCGTCATCACCATCAAAATCACTGGCAAAAGCATTAGGAGAACACCGGGTTTTACCTAGTTGCGTCACATTGCTGGGACATTAACTACAGAATCCTAAGTACTGGGGACCTACAAATAGTTCCTATGTGACTATACTATGAACTTTGTTTCGGATATTGTTCTGCAGTAGACGGCAGCTAAGTTGAAAGTTGAGTGGGGTGTGTCAATGCTGCAGTCTGGCTCTAAGGGTTCATATACTGTTATGCCATCTGCGGCAGCCGGTATGCAGTAAAGCTAATTAAGTTTCCACCGACCAAGTAAATTACCGAAATGAAAGTTGTAGCTATCAAAACCGGATCTCCTATTTGACGATATTTATTATATGAAAGGACATGATCTGTTTTAAGGGCTACCCTAAGCATAGGCATTTTTCTGAAGACAAAATTTCTCGAAAGAATACTTCTAGTACATACCGTATCTATCGGGTTTTCGGAGGGGATACCGCTGTAAGCGATAGGTATGTCACTGAATTTAACGCAAGAAAAACACTGTCGGGATACTGACTGTCCAAAAGCAGTTAAAAACAAGCGTCTGTGAAAAAAATAGCCAACTTTATTTTTCATGTCTCTTAGCTGTATAACCTAAATTAGGCTCTGGATGAAAGCATTTTAGGTGTTTGGACTCTAGTTCCTTGAAGGATACCCCTCATTAGACAAGTTCAGTTTTCTCAGAGGCTGTCACTTAATGGTAAGCTCTAGTACAATGCGCAGTATGAACTCTTGTGGTCATTCGAACTGTCCTACAGTGGTCAGTGGTCAATATTGCCTGTACCAATCATAATTTTCAAGTGATTGGATGGACACAGTAACGGTATCAAAGTCCGTAATGGGTTCTGCTCAGCAGCGGATATTGGAAGAACAGAATACTTCTATCCATTTTCATCGGATCGTCCCAACCTATTACCGACCGGCCTTAAGTTTAATACAGTTTTAGGGATAATAAATGTTGAGTGAGTGTCGTTCGGATCCTAATACCAAACGCATATGTACAGCATCAAGTTTGTTCAGCGTTGGTAAGTTTAGTCCATTCAAACAGACTGCGTTGGTCAAACGACGATTAATGAACATGTATCAGCAATAAAAACCTAAAATCATCATATGTTTGGCTCGACGATGTTGGGTATGGGCCTGAATAAACTAATGTTTGAAATCTTTGTAATGTACTACTCATGAGGTTGCTGAAAATCCGTCGATAGCTCACGACTGGTTCCGCTCTTTTTGGGTGGCTCATCAGGTAGGCGCAGCCCCCGGGTTTCCGTCAACCTTATGTTCTGCTTGAAACCTAATTGCACGAAATTAGCGAATATACACTCATTTGCAAATTAATTTGGTTGAGCAGTACATTACAAAGATATACATGTATCGCGATATCTCGAATATCGTAGTGACTGAAACATGAGGCGGCCTGGTGCAGCACATTCAGTTGCCTGAGAACATCATAAACGGGAGATTCAGCTGGGTTCCAGGTGAGTCTGTCGAACAACCAAATCAGTTTGCAAATGAGTGTATATTCACTAATATTTGAAATGTTCTGAACAAAATTTCATTGAGGCAGTGAACTGTGTTAATCTGCACTTGTTGGTTTCTGCATTGCATTTGTTTGGAATGATGATTACTTTCATATCTAATTAAGTCGGAAACGATGGAAACATAAGATAAAAAACCCAGGCCTTCAAAGAACCAAATTGACTTAAGACACAAATCGGTGCATGATTAAATGCTTTCTGTAGGTTCTACATAATCTTTAGGAGAAAATTGCTGTATATCCTTCGGTTGATTTAAAGCCAAACGACACAGTTTGGTGAAGCTTTTATCGCCCTGTCTTTGCACTGTTGTTTTGGTGAGTAACTCAATCTCTGAAGAGGATGACGATTTTCGGGATGTTTTAAATCTGACTAAATGAGTCATCTCCACACACGAGTCTGAAGGCTTTAGGCATAAAACAAAGTGCCTCAGGACATTCTTTACACGTTCCATGCCTCACACATTTGATCCGATCAAACGAACCTGCCGCATAAACCAACATCTAACCCCTTCTTACATAGCCACCTCACTGACCGAGAGGGTTACTTGGCAAAGTTCATCCATTGTTCATTCGGACGCGATATTAATAACTACTGTGTGATAGATGTTTTACTAGGGTTAACTTGAGCCATCAGGGTCTGGTGAACTCCCGGCTGACACTGGGATCCTTTAAAAAATGCCACATGACTCGATTGACGACACCACATGGTGCGCTACCATGCGATGATTGGGGCTTCACATGCCACGAGGAGGATATCATCATCTTCATCATCATCAGAGGCAGCGACATCAGTTTTGACACTCATGCTTCACTCGATGAGGGATAGGATCATCAGGATCTTCAGGTAAAATCCTTTTGACTGTCTTAATCGAATACATGTAAACGTATACGGATATCTGCACACGTCTTAAGAAAACCTCTGATGTTCGTTCTTCGTCCGCAGTATTCAGATACGAGAACTTGCCTCGCTGAACATTCTTTGAACATGAAGTAAATTTCAAGCAAACTCCGTTCTCCCTTGTTTCGCTGGCCTTCTGACTTCACGAGTAGATCTTTTATAGCCGAACGTTTAAACATACCCTGTGCTAGATCCACCCATCGTGGGACATTCTCATTCCACTTTTTTACGTATATTACTCGCCTTTTTCAGTTTTTTCTATATGCATGCGTGTATATCCTAGGTAAAAGGATTGTGTTCGAAGGCTAATTAAAGCTGAAGAATGAAGAACAGTCACTGTTCAATGTTATCGCGACTATTGATCTTAAAGCTGAGTGATACTACGCGACGAGTAAGGTGTGTTGTTCGCCAGCAACTAGAAGCAGTTAGGACGCTTTAGTTTCTAGCACACAACCAAGACAATGACGCACGCCCACGTTGAGGATTGAAAAGCGTTTGGTATAAACGAGGAGGATGAAGTGGTCCTGTGTTAGAGTCATACCTTTCTTCCATGAACTACAGTGGCATCCCCAATGATCGTAGTACCCGGAGTCTTGCTTGCCGCATGGTAACCTCTAGTCGGTATTGGAAAAGCCATTCAATCTCGTCAGTTCTTTGCCCACTTCCAGTCTAAACATCCCTTATCGAGCCTTCTAATAACAGGCTACTTCCGTCCGCTTTTGCATAAGGGTTATCCTATCTAAGCAATTGTCCTATCGGGAATAGTTATTTGAATGCGTGGTAAGAAGAGATCGTCTTATTCGTGTCAGTCTCCAGGATTAGAGATATTCGTCCGGGCACTGTTTTCTTGCTATTCTATGAAATGATCAGATTAAAAATAAGTACCTCGGTAAATAGTACAGATAAGGTCAACATTTTAACCCAAACAACTCAGGGGGTACACATGAAACAGTACGCAACACAGCCTGTTCGAGCTGAAGTTGTGAAGAGTAGCCATACACTTGCTTGTCTAAGACGTGAAGGTCTCATCCGAAAAAGACACACGGCATGTGAATAATCGATCATATTTGAACTGACCAATGTCATTTGAACACCAGTAAAAAGGAAATACTGCCCGTTTTGCTCATTTTAAGTATGGTAAGATCCATTCAACCTATTTTATAATCCCTGCTTTACAGGAATGCATCAGTATACATGTGGGACAGGCTGGTATTCAGCTGGGAAATGCATGTTGGGAGCTATTCTGCCTGGAACATGGCATTCAACCAAATGGGCTCATCCCAAAGAATCCGTATATTCCGGTAGGGGATGAGAATACAAATGCAATTTTCTCGGAAACAAACAAAGGCAAATACATTCCACGCAGTGTATCTGTTGATTTGGAACCAAGTGTGCTTGACGAAGTTCGAACGGGACACTACCGCAAACTATTCAATCCAAAACATTTAATAAGTGGAAAAGAGGATGCAGCAAGCAATTTCGCGCGTGGCCATTATTCAGTCGGTACTCAGTTGGTTGACGAGGCCATGGATCGGATCAGGTTATGTGCTGAACAGTGCTCCAACCTTCAAAGTTTTTTGTTCTATCATTCGTTTGGCGGAGGTACGGGTTCTGGTTTCAATTCACTTTTGATGGAGCGCATATGTGTTGACTATAGTAAAACGTCCAAGCTCGAATTTGCGGTTTTCCCTGCACCTCGAGTGTCTTCCGCAGTCGTAGAGCCATACAATGCCATTTTGAATACATACACAACACTGGAGCTCGCAGACTGTACCTTCATGTTTGATAATGAGGCAGTTTACAACATATGTCGGTAGGTCCGAATTCCACATTTTCTTACAGCTTAACCTTTTTGCCCACAGACGGCGTCTAGATGTAGACCGACCTAGTTACACCAACGTGAATCGATTGGTAGGACAGGTGGTCAGTGCGATTATCGCTCCGTTAAGATTCACTGGTAGTCTTAATGGAGATCTATGGGAATTTCAGACGAACCTGGTACCTTATCCTCGAATACATTATCCCCTAGCTGCATATTCTCCGCTGGTTTCCATGGAGCAGGCCTATAAACAAAAGCCCACAACAATGAAGCTGACCATAGATGCATTTAAACAAGAAAATCAGCTGCTCAGGTGTGATCCACGTAGAGGAAAATTTATGGCATGCTGTCTTCTCTACCGAGGTGATGTTTTTCCACAAGATGTTAACGCTGCCATTGATAGTGTTAGAAGAAAACGATCCATTCATTTTGTGGACTGGTGTCCGACTGGCTTCAAAGTTGGGATAAGTTTCCAACCACCTTCAGCTGTGCCTGCTGGAGACTTGGCCAAAGTACCACGTTCTCTGTGTCTGTTTAGTAATACAACTGCAGTTGGTGAATCCTGGTCCAGACTGGCTGAAAAATTTGACTTGATGTATTCAAAGCGGGCATTTGTTCACTGGTTCGTTGGTGAGGGTATGGAAGAAAACGAATTTACGGAAGCTAGAGATTTTATGGCCTGCCTTGAGAAGGATTATGAGGAGGTTGGCTGTGATACCTTGGAATCGATCAACGTGGAAAGCTGACCTCGAGGTCCTTTTTGACCAGTTCACTGTACATTAAAACAATTCAACTGAGCGTTACACGCACAAGGTGTAACTTCGCACTGCATGTGCCTTACGTCTGTTGGCGTACGGAACTATCGGTAAAAATTGTTCGCTGATCTGTCACGAGTATTCGTGATTAGAACAATTCTACCGTTTTACGCACTTTCTTATACCAGTCCGAAAAATACGACAAGAGATTTGGTCGTAAACGGAATGCGCAATAAATTCTATTGTGCACTGAAGTGTGATTGCAAATTGTGATTGCACTATAATAGCACAAAAGCTATTCAATGTAAATCACTTTTCCATTGTTCTGTGGTTAGGTGGGTTAGAAGGTGGAGGAACCTTCTTCAGATGCTCAACCAGAAGTTGAGAGTGGATGGAAACTGAGGTTAAAATAGACTGAGTGAACCTGAAAAAACCGTAAACAACTCGTATCTTGTCCCGGCGGAACGTTAGAGAAAAGGAATATTTTCGGCTGAGGCAAGGGGCCCCGATACATTCTTGTTAAAAAGTTTGGGAGCGTCGTTTTTCATACTTGTGTTCTGTGTTGGGTCTTTTCGGCTTGTACTTTCAACAGAAATCTTCAGCACAACCACCAACCACAACAGCGCACTGGTGATTTCACCTCGAGTGGTGATGAAACGTTTGCAATCAAACTGCTCAGTTCAGCGAACAAGCCAACGACCACAATCTTCATCCTGATCAGGATGACCAGACAAAACAAGTTGGTCTGCTTTTAAATAGAATTCTTGATGTTTACAATTAAGGCAGAGCATTAAAGAAGAACACAGCTTTTTCTCCTCAATGATGCATGTGATTGTAGTGTACGTCACAAAAATGCTTTGGATGAGTAACAAAGAAGATCCACATTATTTCGGTTACAGCAGTCCAGATCCTTTCACCGCAGAATTATCCTAGTTGATCCAAAACCAGAAAGCATTGGGCTCACACCAAGGCAGGAGACGTACCGATCAAACGATCAACAACTCCTGAGCAATGCCTATAGGCAGACTCGTAAAACTGACCGATTTTTGCTCAGTTTCTCCTCTGAATCGCCCACTAAGCGATATTTTTCAGTTTAATTTCCTGGGCATTACCTACCGAGGAGGTTTTGTAGGTCACAGATTAGGGAGAACAAGAACAAGAACGTGAAATGTGAAACCGTACTTACACTTGAGGGGATTCAAGATTTCTACACACACATTCGTTTCAAGCAGTTATATTACATAACAAACTAAAGAAGGAAATTCCGCTTAGATGTCCCAGTTCTTTCGTGGTAAGCAGAATTCCAAATGACAATTTTTGTTATTGGTAATTTTGATCACAGGGTTCTGTGATCATTCATTGGGGTTCAGTCCGACCAGTTCACATGAAATCTTCCAAAGCCACTTGCGTTCTTTCTCATTGAAAACAATACTTTTCGGTGATGCTTCTTTGCAGTTGTCGTAGTAGGCTCCAGATTTGACCACAGGTGCAAGCACAGTGTAGAGTGTGGTCTGACACCCCAACCACGGGTCGATGAGGAAAGGTTGGAACAGAAAGTGTCCAATGCGCTGAAATAGATGAAAGACACTTTTTTTAAAATATGGCACTGATTCACTTATGCTTCTGCTTAAGTTATGGTAACCTATCACAGAGCCCGTCACACATTGAGTATCTTTCGAATTTACTCTCGAATCACAGTCATTTGCTTTCGTGTCAACCTTGTGGAACATGGGTTTATTATTTCCAGTTAATTTCTATCTTTGCTTATTTTCTTCACTTATTTGCCTCTTTGGAATAGAGATATCGGTAAGTATGCCGCGTAAACTGACTGCTCAAAGCATGCTGGATCCAGTAACGTATGAGAACGAGCCACCCAAGAATCTAATGCTGTGACATGACGCACTCCACGTGTCTTATAAATGAGACAAAGTGCGACGCACAGATGGAACATGACCTGAGACAGAGAGTGCCAGAGGTCGTTGATATCATTATTCTAGGTGGCTTCGGAATAAGGGTCAGTGCGCTTTAGCTTGTGATTTACAACTTTGGTAGACGAGCGAATGTTGCCTGTCGTAAGTCGGCACCAGGTAGCGAGAAAAAGCTTGCTCACCTGTAAACCTGAGGTGAACCTAAATTGGCTCACGTCATTTATTATTTCTACTTATTCGCCCCGTAGGCTCGTGACTGGGTGATCTCGTTTAGGTATCCTTAAGATGTTTTAAACCAGATAGACATCTCGCGGAAAGCGATGTTTGGGGATCCTTTTATAGTTTTGAAAGAGTGCGAAGACATTTTTTCGGAAATTTCGTCCTTTAAGTGAAGCCAGTCTATGCTAATTAGTCTAGGCTAATCACACTGCTGATCAGCCACTCGTGGCCGGACGGTTAAGTGTTCAAACTACCAGCCGGGAGGTCGCAGTTTCGAGACTCTTCGGAGTTTCGTGAGATGCGCACTGCTGATGATTCCCAATAAGAATGAAACAGCTGTACAGTGCTTCTCGGCTTTTCAGCATAGATTGGCTTCACTTACAGGACGAAATCTCCACCGAAATCCCAAACCTCCTCACACCACCAACAATGCGAAGACTGCCCGCACTCCATCTTCATTGATGAAGCTCGAGTACACCAGTGACATCTGTTGAGATATATAATTTGCGATTCAGGTGGTTTTGGTCGACAAAGAACACTAGATTCATAAAATCCAACCTTTTCATCTTCATTGATGAAGCTCGAGTACACCACTGACATCTGTTTAGATATATACTTTGTGATTCAGGTGGTTTTGTTCATGTCGACAAAGAACACTAGATTCACAAAATCCAACCTTTAACTGAATTCTGGCCGATTAAAAAGGTGACTAAAATAAAGGAATGCGACTGCTGGCAGATTGTGATCGATTCCATGTGGTAAAATCCATCTGATTTCGAATGAGCTACCAGAAACGATTGGCAATGTCATCCAATACACTAGACATCTTCATCTCCCGGTTGTCCCGGTGCAAACAGATGTGCTTACCTCCGGGCCACCTGTAATATCGCGCGCTATTTCCGTTTTCACAGCGCCTGGATGTAAACTGACGACTACGATGCCTGTGCCTTCCAAGCGACTTGCCAACTCCTTTGCACACATCACGTTTGCCAATTTGGAATGACAGTATGCAGACATTATCGTATACCTTTCAGGTGGGATATGCAGACTTGGCTTGGACAGTTCGCCAAATTTGTGCAACATGGAGGACACGAAAATAATACGTGATGAACAGCTAGCCTCGGCAGTATGCATTAGTGGCAGCAACAACTGGGTCAGGAGAAACGGTCCAAGATGATTCACTCCAACTGTGGTTTCGAGACCGTCCTCAGTGATCGAATGTGTCTGTTTGAGTAGTCCGGCATTGTTGATCAGATAATCGAGTTTTTCGTATCGTTCGCGTATTCTGGCGGCAAACTGTCGTACTGAATTTAAAGATGACAAGTCCAGCAGTTCAATCTGAAGCTGTAGTAAATTAAATCCGGATGAAAAACACATGACTAGAAAAGATTTCTGGGCCGTTTTATGTCATGGCCAGAACACAGCATAAGAAGTATTGTATGAAAAACAAAACAGTTGAGTTGATCAACCCAAGCCTTTCGTAGCCAGATCAGTTGCACCCGTCCCCTAACTCATATTACGTTCCTCCCCTCATTTGAAAGTACACCACGAGAAGAGATGGCTTTTCCTGTGAAGTGGTTGCTCTTCAGTGTGAACAAACTCCACTTGCTTCCTAAAAGTGTTTTTAATCTCAGAGTCCCCTGTAAAAAAATTCACCGTGTGAGTTTTGTTCTGTCCACCAAAATGTTCCAATCTCAGGGCTCGTGAAACCCGTGCATCCTGGTTCCAGACCATCTTTCAGTCATGCTAACCAGCTGATATCTCCTTAATACGCTCGCTCAGTCTACCGAAATGGGTGCAGATTTCGATGTAAAGCGACAATGAAGTAGTTTCATTAGAAAGAGGAAAGTGCGATTTCGTGACACTGAAGCAGTGTTAATCTCGAAGCCCGAAGCTTTAAACCTGTCGTCGGGTTGTTCACTCAAAAAGTTATTCATATTGCGAGATATGCTGGTCAGTTCGGCATTTGACTACCTAAGTGTAGTTTCAAACACGCTTTATTTCAATTTACACTATGGAGAGATACTTCCATCACCCTAACCGTTTAAGTTAGACAGGGAAAGCATCCGTTCATTTAGAACGAGATATGTTCACTACTCTAGTATTTTAAAGCAGGTCGTTGCGTCGGGTTGGGGTCGGCTTACTGTGATCCCTTCCTCACGGATTAGAGGATAGTGGTACGGTTCGGAATTCTAGTTATAAATTGTTTTTCACTACCCGAAGATAAGGCTGCCAATGGAAACATCATCACGACCAGTTCTGAGTGTATTCTAATTTTAGTTGAGGGCTGAATGTGCTTGACAGTACTGTTCAGGCTCTTGCGACTGTTGTCCGTCGACACACAAATCGCGCCCAGACTAGGCCATTGATTGTAGATCCTTGTCTAAAACTGTCCTCAGGGGGTTCACGAAAGGAACATTTTAGCACAAATGGTTGATCGAAATCTATCAGCGGTTCTTTTGAGAAAATACTTGTTAAGCATGATTTATCTGGTAATATCATCACAACTGGAGCGTTTGCAGAGTTAAACAAGCAAATGCGGTAGGTAGCCTGGTACCAACTAAGATATATATATATATATATATATATATATATATATAAC